AATAATCTGAGCAGCTATCGCTCGAGCTACTGGGAGCTGAAAATAACGGTAAGGGGACGCGTCTCGCGCTTCGGCAATGCTCATCATTGCAGGTGTCGTGACGAGACAGCGGTGCTTTCTCTTCGTACCACGTATCTCTGGACCTTCCACTTCGAATTCATCCAAAAGTTCAGGAAACAGCGTAGTACCGATATGTTCTTCGCCACCGCGTCTTCCCTCGTCCCACAAAGCCTTCAAGATGGTACTTTCGGACGGACGGTCTAGCCCTGATACACAGAATTTGATAGCAACATACTTTGCTAGGATCTCGTCACGCGCTAGCCATATAGTTGAATAAGAACCATGACCCAGTTTATGTACAATGTGATAGCGAGCCGAGCAGAAGCGCTCGCCGATTCGTACCGGATAGTAGTCTCCAACAGTGTAACGCTCGAAGGGTTCGATATCTTCCATCGGCTTGTACATCGGGAAGGAAGACTCTGGGTTCTCAGGCTTGCAATCTGACATCGGTTTTGTATAACTGCCAGATGATGTGTACTCTCTTACTGGGTTGCGAGACGTCGTGTGTGAATTAGCAGATATGTTGCAGGCGAAGCGATGAGTCGAGCGGAACCGTCGATGAAGAGTTGATCGAGACAACAAATCCATCCGCATTGCGAAGTCTTTCATCACTAACCGCAACTGCAGAGAAAGTAACAAGAGTAGGCGCTTTCATAGGTGCAATGTTCTCGCAAACGCGATTGTCAGGAGCTAATGACTGGGTCTGTTGAGGCCTGCCTGCTGGAGGTGGCGGGGAAATCAACTAGCGTCAGGACCCACCGCCACCCGCAGACCCGCCGACAGCATTCGTATATCACCTCAAGTCAGTGCAAATTCGGTATGCTAGGTACTGATTGCATCGGGCATGAACAAGCAGGTGTTGTCGTGGAACGTTGAGGTCCTTTTTTGGCGGGAGAGCTAAATGCATCTGTGGTATCTTTTAAGCACGCGCGTGGTCTCATCACATTCTTTACATTACGTCTCTACCGATAAGAAAATATATACCAGCCTCCAACATTACTATCGCACCGCACCGCGACTCGATGCATCATCCTGCTTCTACCATCGGGCACGTAGGCATCAGTGGACCCTTCCTGGAAGCTCGGCAGGCTCCATGTTTACATGATGACCTCCAGACATCTCAACCGGTCCACGGCTGCTATCCCATTGATATGCCTTCCGCGTGTGTCGCATGTTTCCCATGCTCAATTCAGATTCCTGTGCGAATTCATCCCGGGGACCGTAGCTGTATCCAGATGGCTGTACTTTCTCTTTTGAAGCGCCACGCTTTCGTCGAATGAAGAAGACGCCAAGAATGGTCAAGCAGATCACTGTAAGCCCTCCTAAAACTCCTCCCACGATAGGCCCAATGTTATTTGGTTTGTGTTCGGAAGAATCGGGCGTCGGATTTGACGTTGACGGCGGCAACGAAGCCCCGGACAGGACATTGGCGCTTGAAGGTGCAGTAGTAGTAGAAGATGGAGGTATCGAAGTCTGTGTATCTGGGGTCGAACTGTCCAAAGGTCCGCTGCGTTCAGTGGATGTCGTTGTTGCGACCGCGTCGTTCGGTGTCACGAAGATGCTTTCGGTTTTCGGCTCCCTTCCGCAGGCAATGTATGACAATGACTGATCCGACTCAATTAAGAGCGCAGTGGAACAGAACTGGTCGGATGCACTGGAAACTTTAATTAGAAGAGCCCCTCAGTATGTCTGAAGCTATAGAGAGACCGACCATGAAATACGGCGAACCGTTTGATCAGACAGTTGGCCGCATCCAGACGCACAAGAGCCTTGATCAGCGCATATACCGACTAAAAGACAAAGTTCGGCTGAATCGCCAGGGTGACAAAAGCCCCATAAGCCGTTGGCGGAATCCGCCAGGCAGACGAAACCAGGGCCAGCCCCTCGAGGTTTACTGGGATTGCCATCGGTGTATCCACAGATAGAAGCAGATGCATCGTCTTGTCGTCTGAAAATCTGTTCCTGGGCGTGAGATGCTTGCTGTGTTGCACGTGGTCCTAGGGGTGCAAAACGGCCACGAACAGGTTCCACGGAGCTCAAGGCGACAAGATACACGAGGAACCTCAACATCTCCCAAAGGCAATGTTGATGGTGACGACGGCGCGTTGATTGGTACAGTACTAGAAGCGAAAGAACAGATGCGACGATGGGTGCGACACGTAGGGGGCATAGATGCGACTTAAAGGCTACTGCTGACCCTACCGCAGGTCTGCGGTCAGCAGGGGCGATAATACAGCCATTTCTTAGATTGCGCTTATGCAGTCAATGGGGCGAAGATGTCGTGTTAGCCTTGAGGGAAACGGCCCCCATCTGCCACAATGTCAGCACGTAGCGTCCATGTTGAGTTGTCTTAAGCCTGATTATCGCCATCGAACCACAATGCCCATTCGCCTTTGATCTCCTAGGTCGATACACTCGCACCTCTGGTATCGTCGCGGATTCAGTATCGCCATAGACCTCATCGTTTGACACCAACGACATGCTCTCGGCGACCAGGGCAAAACCGGCAAGGATGGCAACGAGCGACGCATCCCGAGCACAACAAGCATTTAGATGCACTGGAATATGCATTTTTCCCTTCGCGCGTGGATCTGTCCTGGAATCCCGAGGTCCTGGCAACGCCTGGGCAGAGATAGCAACAACCGCGCGCGCCACCAACACCCAACTTTCGCTGCTAGAATCCATATCCCGGAGCTCACTAAGTTAGCGAAAGCGCGCATACGTGAGCGGTTCTCTCGGTAGTGGTAGACGCTGCGTGACGCTGTTGAACTTTTTCTTGTTGTGGGAGAAAGGCAGAAGGGATATGTTGACTGGTTTCACTGGTAACAGACGCTCCGGAGGCACGCACGGGCCACTTGTTCACCCAAACAGTGTTGCTAGTGGGATAACTGTCTGCGTGATTTGCCGCCGTGCCGCAACCCGTGGGCCTATTCTGAGCGCTTCCTCCACGCGAAACGGCGCGAATCCGACTTGCCACTCTCAGTCACGCAGCTACATTCTTTGAAAGAGACTTCATCGGCTTTATTGCTTCTCAGTTGCACCCTGTTCTTTCTTCTTCGTCGCTCCTTTCTAATGACAACGAGGGGCTTGCGATCGGTCTTCAAGGCGACCGCGTTGCTTGCTGTTGTCTTCCTCCTGATAGCCGGCTTTGGGTTTTTCGACTATGGCGATTCCCTTTCGCGAATAAAACCTATCGTCACTGGTATTGTCAAACCAACCCCGGCAGGTGTGTAGCCTCTGCTTCCCGATAATGTGAGTCGGATCTAACATTTGGGACTAGAAACGAAGCCGAGCAACCTAGATGACTCGCCAACAACATCACAAACCCCCGAGCCTCCCAATGCCAGCGGCGGTTCTGAACTTTCGGAAAGTAACAATGCCACCGTCATTGATATACCAGCATATCTGCACGCCATCATGAATCCTGCGTCTACGACTTTCCCACGACTTGAGTGCCCGCAGCCAAACCTTGAAAGGTATGCGTATCTCGGTGGATCATCTGGATCACTCCAACATGGGCAACTTCCTCGATACTTCTTTGCCCTCGATCTACATCAATGTGTTGACCTTCTTCCGCGATTGATTGGCTCCATAGTAGAAACTATGTACTTCCTTGGGCCACAAAACTGCGTGCTATCTATAGTCGAAGGAAGATCCGACGATGGCACCTTTGATATACTCAATCAACTTCACTCTAGCATGCAACTTTTAGGTACCCAAGGCAGCTTACATTCAGAGATAAAAAAGCTAAGCACTCCTAGGTATTCGATACTACTTCAAATCGAGCGATATCAACCCTCTAGCCAAAGGAGAAAATCGCATCGAGAACCTTGCAAAGCTCCGCAATCTAGCTCTGAGAGACCTTATCGCACATCCGGAGCATTACGACGAGGATACTACGGTCATCTTCTCCAACGACGTGGCTTTGTGTATGGAAGATATTCTAGAAATAATCCATCAGCGGAAGTTCCAGGGAGCAGATCAAACGTGTGCCATGGATTGGACATACGTTGGCGACAACCCGACTTACTATGATGTTTGGATCGGTCGCGGTGAGTTTTGACTGTGCGAAGCGCATGTGAGACATATACTGACTGAGTATACCTATTTCTTAGGAATGACTGGGGACCTATTCTTCAATATCCCGGAAGACGGATCATGGGATAACGCTTGGAATCTCTTCTATAATGACCCTAAATCACAAGCGCGCTGGTCGACCTCAAAACCATTCCAGGTGTTTTCATGCTGGAACGGCATAACGGCCTTCACCGCGAAACCGCTCATGGAGAAAAAGATCAAGTTTCGAACGCATAAGGAAGGCGAGTGTTTTCAAGGCGAGCCGAAGCTGTTCGCCAAGGACATGTGGTTTAACGGTTATGGCAAGATTGCTGTGGTACCGAGCGTTAACGTGGAATACTCGGACGAAGGAACAAAGAAGCTCAGGGCTTTGAAAGGATCCACATCCAAGGTAAGTTCTGACTGTGCGAAGTGCATGTGATACACATACTGACTTGTCTGCAGCATGTTGCGGACGAAGGAGATGATATCAAAATCGAGTGGGAGGTTTCTCCGCCGGAGAAAGTGAAGTGTATGCCAGACTATCGACACCAAACGTTTGTTGCTTGGGACGAGGGACTGAGGCGTTAATGTAATCGGAAATAAAATTCGAATGTTTGCAACGATTGCGATACTTGGTGAGAGCTGTATGCTACATGCATACTACGCTAACTATGTCGTATACTAAATCCGTCTTGTAATCACCACACGTATATCGTTGGTCGGCTTTCTCACTCCGGTTCCCGGAACCTTGCCCGGAAGCTTCCATGCCCCGTCCGCTGGGCCAACGTCCCACATTGTAATGATAGCAACAGCTAATGTCACAATTTCCTTCTCAGCAAATATCCTGCCTTTACACATTGCAGAGCCAGATCCCCATGGCTTCAGTCGTCCATATCGAGCAGTAAGCTTCCCAGATGACGGGTCCAGCTCCAGAAATCGTCCAGGGTCAAACTTATCGGGATCGCTGTAGATCGAAGCATCGCGGTTTACCAAAGAATAAGGTACCGACACGAATGTACCCGGCTTGAGTTCATGTCTCAAATCCCCGTCCGTAACGTGAACTGTGTTTGAACCAACAGATCTAATGGACCTAAGATGTGGGTGCACGAGGTCAGTAAATGTCCTACATAAAGTTCGAACGGGGATACAAACGTTGGTTCGTTTACAAGACGGTAGGTCTCGTAAATACACGCCTTCAGCAACGGACAATTCCTTGACAAGCCTTGCATATCCATCGATGTCAATTCTCTGGGGATGGACGTAGACATCGTAATATATTGGGTCAGTTCCTCGCGGAGTTGCTCCAAGATATCGGGTGTGGAATATAAGTAGGTTAACAGCCAGAAGAGGAGTGGTTGCGTGTTCGCATTCTGGCCCCAAAGGAGTCCAAGGTCTCCAGCACCACGCTCAGGGAAGGACCAACCTTCCCTCCTGTAGACGTTGTTCCTTCCCAATGCTGTTTCACCAACGTCGCGCATATCAGCGTCAAAATCGACAGGATCTCCCTGCTGGTACTGGTCGATTCGGCGATACAAAGCCTCGAGTTCAGTGATGAGACGGATCCGCGCAGCGAGACCCTCTTTCATCACTTTCAAAGGAGCCCACAGAGGCAGGCCAATCATTAAAAGGGGGAAGAGATCGTTATCAAACTTCCACAGATCCTCTAGTGCCTGTGGATATCGATCGAGGAAATCGCGACCGTATAGCTGTGGGATAGCGATGCAGGCGCCAAAGTCTCGAATCAAGCTTTGGAAGTTTGCCTCCACTTTCTCAACACCACCGGATTCAGGGTTGATCACCCGAATTTGTGCCGAATGCTCCCACAACTCCATGTCGCGAGGATTAGACTGGAAGGTCACGAAGGACTTCACTTTTTCGGGTATGCAGGCTCTCTCCAAAGCAGCAGTGGCAGCGTTCTCGTTCATGAAGACTTTCTCGACAGGTGCTCGTAGATCCCTGTTTGAAGCGTCCATCTTTTCTTTGAATTGCAGTGAGTCTACGCCGCCGAATACACGGACGAGAAGGGTGTACTGAGACGGCAAAGGATCTAAGATGGATTTTGCCATCAACCGTGTGATGTGCGGCGAATCGATGAGTATTTGGTGTTTTGATGAGAGCCCAACAAGAGATCCACTGTTTCGCCGCAGCAACATCCTACAAAAGCGGACATGAGTATTATTTCTATATGGTTAAAGCTTCATGGTACTCACAGAATACGGCGACCCAGTCCATTCTCGGAGAGAAGATGCGAAGTTAACCCAATCTCAAGTGTTGCCCAGACGGGAAACAGCTGGTACGGTTTCGGTTTCGACGCCACTCGAACGATAAAGATGACGAGGAGGACGATGATGGCCACAGCAATGACACCAGTGTTCGCTGCCGCTTTCCAGCTCGCTAGCTGGGAGGCATCGGCATGCGATGAGTGCATTGTGTTTCCCATAGCCGCACGACTGACGAGCGTTTCCTATATGGTCGCCTTTATAGCGTTGGATGTGCGTGGCCTGGTGTTACGATCGTATGGTACTGAAGGAGAAGCTGTGACTAGATTTGGGGGCCGGGTGTGCAGGCTTGATAAACCGGCCTCGGAAAACGTTTCAGCCGTATCAGCCGTATCCGCCGTATTACCCCAGGGTTGTACCTATTGCTGATGGCCTTGGCGTCTCGTAAGGTTCAAATATTCACGGCGCGGCAACAGGAGGCTCCGAGTGCCGGCGGTTGTAGCGGCGCGTGGTGGTGCTGCTTTGCTCGATGTTGATGTTGTCTCCCGTTGGTTACGTCTGTGACTGTACAACTGGTTCCTGCATACGTGGAAAGCTAGCTCTACGTGCCTGTCGCGCCTTGAATACGCCCGAGACGGTATGATTTGATGAGACAAATGGCACGAGATCGAATAACCTGTCAGCAGCCACGGGGTCCGCGTCGCAAGCGGGCAACTTAGGGGAATTAGGCAACCACGGCAGAACGCGAAATTTCGCAGGGCGTAAGTATTCGCAACACGATGTATTGGGCGAATGCGGTCTTTCGCCCAAAGAGGTTAGACCGTCTATGCGCGCGAAGAGTGGACCCGCGGCAACAACCCCATGAATAGTTGGAAGGAACAAACGACTGCCACGCCCTCGTAGAAGCCAGGATGAGTGATCTGGGCATCTTCTTATGTCCAACCTCGCCTGAGCGTACCTGCACTCACAGCTACGCCGCGCCTGCCTGCGTTCATCGTGCATCGACACCGCCTCACGCCAAGGGTCTTTACCAACATCGTCGGAGCAGACCTGCGCTAGGAATTTAGAATCGTCCTTCGTTCCTTCCGCTACCATGACAGCACAGAGAGTACAATGTCCTATAAGTCTAAGGACTACAAGAATGAAGCAAGCTTGAGGACGCACATGTTTCTACACAACGATGAAGCGAAGAAAGCAAACTTTGCATCAAAGAAGCGATGCCGTGAGGCAGCGATATTGGCAGAGACATGGAAGTGCGCAAAATGCAGCAAAATATATACCACTAAGAACAACCTGGATCAACATCTGCGCACACACCACCGAGAACTATCCAACTCTTCATTCGACCGCTCTGTCTGCCCGGAGACCTTCAACAACAAAGTGACTCTGGAGGAACACCACCGAACCGTACACGCAATGGACACCGCCCGATAGACCACGGTAGATGAGAGTCTTGGGTCTACTCTCGGCTTCGAATGCATTTACTGCGGCAGGAAGTTTCGGCCCCAGAAGAAGATGAATACTCATATCGACTTCAGATGCCCTGCAAGAGAACGTGAACCCTACCCTGCGCGCAACGGTAACACTAAGATACTCCGAGAGATTGAACAGATTGAAGAAGCTATGCCAACCATCGATCGTATTGACAAGCCCGTCCACCAGAACATGTTGACGATGCTGTACCAGCGGCTGTCGGGATGGCAGCAGCAGGATGACGATGGGAATTCGTGCCACGTGTCTCTCCGCACAACAAGCCTTAGACTCCATCACCTCGGAAAAGGAAAGAAACTGAACAGTTCTGCAGACTACGCTATGACAAAACAAGCAAATCGGAAGATCTATCGTCATTGTAGGCTCCAGAGTGGTCTCTTGAAGGCCATCAAGGTACACATAAGAGCATGAAAACAACACTCACAGTCAACTGCCTAATCTGTGAACGGGTCTACCCTAGCGACAGCAAGATGTTGCAGCATTGTCAGAACGCCGATGTGCCAAACCCCAACCCAGCGGCCGAAACCGGATACAGAAGATCCAAGTAGAAGCATACTATCGCCTTCTCGAAACTCAATGCTTTTTATGCGGATTGGCACGTGCCTACTTGAATGGGGCATATCATCCTTGGATCTGCACTTCTGCGATCAGACATTTTAACTACGAGTAAATGTGAAGTCATCATCAGCGACCGTGTTATAGAGTACGGCAATGCACAGAACATAGATCAGAGATGGACATATCTCATTCGCAAATACTCTAGTATCTACAAAGCCATCTTCCCCTCATCTCTAGCAAAAGCAGCCCCGCTAAAATCGACACGATAGAAACAACGCCTGCCAAATGCAAAGTTTACTCCTCACCCTTCGTTACAGCATGCCGTTTTTTCGAAAACTGTCCTGAAAAAAAGTTTTCCCACGAAGGCCAGGCTGGCACCTGGGTCTAAAAAAGCCATTTGAACATGGACCGCGGCAAGCTCCGGGTCCTTCCTGAAAGGGGGTAATCGTTGAAGAAGCGAAAGAACATATCATAGCAAACGAGATCTTCGTGACGTAAAATAGTGCAATACACGTAAAGGAAATAGTGCCTCGTGATGCCGAAGGGCATGTAGACGTGAGGACTGGTATCAAATTCTGGCCATGAGCGAAGGGTATCTGGTGGTATTGGAAAGTCGTGAGCTTAATGTGATGTAAGCGTCTCGTCCTCCTAGTGGGAGTTGGTGGCAGGCTGAGGTGGAGGCGTAGACAGGATCGAGATGCCCATGGTAATTATAGCAATCAAGAGTCATAGGATACTGCATGCGCTGCCCGAAGACCTATCGATACGTTGTCAGCTACTGCACCGGATATATCTTTGCGTCGAAAGTATCCAAAGCCAATGGCATGGACGGGAATGTGTCACTGGACACTCGTACGGTATCTCTATCGTCATAGTGATCAGCGCACAAGCAATGATCCACGTCTCTCCGCGGAAGCCATGCTGCACGACGGCGGGACGATCACCGTTTGTGATTGTGTCACCCAAGACTTAGTGCATGTGCCGGGTTCCTGGTGCCGAGAGCCGAGGGATTGGGGAGATGATTAGATAGGAAAAGGTAGATGCTTACCATCTTTGCCCGCGGATCCTGCCAATCCACGAGTAAACAATCTTCAGACGCTCGCGAACCCTTTCTGTTTGTAATAAAACATATTTCTCTTCTTCCACGATTGGGACGACAGAGGCAAACCAGTATGGAAATATCGCGGGGTCCTCAGGTGGTTCACCGTAGACTTGGATGATGCGCTCACGAAGCCAAGGCGCGCTAGCCTCTCTCATTTCCCGCACAAACGCTGTGCAACTGTCGAGTAGTTGTTGCGTAGAAAGGGTCTCAATCGCGACTTCCGCAGGGAGCTGGTTCTGCGGGTGGTCGCGGAAAAATGCTTCCGCATAGTCCCGTGCCATGGTGGTTTCGCGCTGCTCTAATATGGCTTCTTCGGCAAGAGAGACATCTTCAACGCGCTCGATGCGGCTGACGTTGTACCCATCAAGCAAGCCATGAGCCCTCACCTTGAAACGACCGATACCACGTGTCTCGATAAAGCTACGCCCATCACGGAGTAGCTCGTAGTTGACGATCTCGAGTAGCGTTCCGTATTCCAGAAACGGGGTCGGACCAAGATCGCCTTGTGGGGCGTGAGTGCGATTGTACATGACCATGCCGAATTGTCTGCTGCCTTCAATGACACGTCGCATCATGAGCCGATAGCGGGGCTCAAACACATGAAGGAAAGTCGGCATTGCAGGTAATGACAGAGTGCAAATGAAGAGCGGAACGTTCAAGACGTTGTCCCCGGCCTGTTCTTCCGCTTTGAGAGCATCGGCACGAGCACTGACCATATCTGGACAAAGCCCATTCAACAAGGAGTTGAGTATGACGTTGCTAGATTGATTCTGCAAGGACGCAGGCACATGCAGTCCTCTGCGACAGAAGGGGCAAATGCTACTGTGGTCCATGACACGACCGAGGCAGCGGCGGCAGAATGTATGACCGCACGAAGTCGTAGTCGGGTCGAGCATCAAGTTGTAACAGACAAGACAGTCTAACTCCTTGTGGGTTACGTCGCGCAAGCGTTCCAGCAGCGTGATGTCAAGATGGTCGTAGTTGTCCCCGCTTGCCGATAACGACTGGTAGTGGACTTCGGAAGTGTACCGAAGTTTGCCGATCTCAGCCATGGTGAACGTAGACACGAGACGTCCGCCATGCAGTTCCTCCTGGTGCCCAGGGTGACTAGGCTTTTCCTTCTCTTTCTCGTCCATGGGTGAATCTTCATGCTGGGGTATCTCGATCAGAAGCATCGGAGTATTTTCCGCAGATGGTCTATGCGCGACTATCTCGGCTTTTATCAAGTCCATCAACTTGGTCAACGTCACGTCGACAGAGCACTCAGCAGAAGCGTGTTCGGCCCCGCAGCCCATTAGCGGACACGCGATGCCCATGAGGCGATCCGGCGTGTTCGGGTAGGATATGTTGGTGCGAGGTTGCGGGGCAGGCAGGCAGCCGCGACAGACGGTGTGGCCGCAGGGCAGTGTGACGGGGACACTCAGAGGTTTCGAGCATCGCGGGCACTGGACCAGGCGGACCATCTGTCGGGCGTCGCGGTGGGCGTCGAGGGCGACCGCCTCCGAAGCCTCTGCCGAGCGCTCATTGTCGCACATGAAGGCCTGTGCAGATAATTGAGGCTCAAAGGAATGCTCAACGCTTTCGACGATAGAGCACCCTTTTGTCCGTTGGTGATTCATGTAGATTCGCTATGTTGTGCAATGACTGCGGCAGCCATGTACAGTCGCAGGCCCGTCGGTGGGTCAGGTCGCGGTTTTGGTTGGTTCCGAGGTGGTCAAGCGGATGCGCACTGCAGGTGTGCAGGGAGGGAGGGCGGTTATGTAGTCGATAGCGAGGCTGCGTACTTCAAAGATAGTCAAACCTTCGAAATAGGCAAGAGAGGGTTGAAACGTCTTTCACGGAAGGGTCGATGCTTTCGGACGCTGGGTCGAGGCGGATCAGCAACGCGCGTGCTGATGCAGGGACGGATGACGACAGAGGCTGCCGAGGGTGCTGATATTATCGGGGGCAGACAGTGTCGAGGTTTATAGGAGCACGCGGGGTGGCAACACGAGAGCTCGCGAGTGGGAGGAGGTGGTGCAGTCTAGCAGTAGAGCGCAGAGCGGACGAGGGCCATGTTCAAGAGAGAACAACTTGAAGTGGTCATCCATGCTGGACGGATAGTTAAAGATCGGCGATGTTGCTCTGCGCCCCGTATCAGTCATGGAAGGCTGCCACCCGATGTCTGTGTTCAACGCTGGGATGCTCGGATCGAGGCTAAGCCTATCCTGGCCCCATGAGAGAACGGCACGGTCCATACGCAGACAAATGTCCACGCAGCCAGAGACAACGCAAAGCCTTGCTTGTTCCCACACCAGACGCGCCTCGAACCGGTATCCCGAGCACTGGGATGACTGCCGCGGCCCATTGATTGCGCCGCGTATCCGGAGTGGACACGGTAAAGGCGGTGATCATGTAATTCCAGCCAAATCAATGCCTTTCGAGCGGCATGTCTTTGCCAGGCCCATCTTCGTTACCAGCAGCGTAGCCGCGCGAGCCCAGCGCAACAGCAGGTGCGTCTATCTGCAAGAATTCGTGTCTTTCTATCGTTGCTCGGCGGTAATACATGTAAGAAGCGAAAGTCGTCGTCGTCATGGATCACGTCTACGCAGCCAATCAACAGCGGGTCCGCTCGCTGTCATTTTCCCATGTGTCTCGCTCGGAAAAGACTAGCCGCCACAGAAGACCCTGTAAATCTGGCAAAGGACACCATGAGGGTCCGATTGTGGTGACGACTTGCATTTCACCATTGAGGGCAAACAATGCTTGTGCCTCGTGTCTCACCCACACTGCAAGCTACAACGTCTGTTAGTCGCGGCTACACAGACCGTGGATATCCAGGCCACCCATCAAGTCTGGACCTTTTTGTTGTTCAATTCAATATCGCTCGACGCTCTTGTCCCTGGCTGCGGTTCCACCAGCTTCGCCAGACACCTGGGCATAACCGAATGAAGCGCTAGACTAGTGGACAATCTTCGGCAAGCCTCCCAAAACGTACCAGGGAAACTCCATATGCAAAAGAAACCTCTCCACGCACGCTTTGGCTCGGCTCCACCAACACAGAACATGACTATTGTACATTGACATCCCTGTACATAACGCTCCTCAACGCCCGTTTCCGAAATCTCGGATTCGTACTCGCGAACACCAGTTCACGGTGCCCTGGGCCCACCGTTTGTCCCTGGCTGTTCCGCCTCTGAGTTGATGTCTGATTCAATGCTCGACTCCTCTTCCTCGTCGTCGTCGTCTTCTTCCTCCAGCACAATTTGCTCGAGAACCCGTTTGTCGAACAAGTCTAGCATGAACCGGCACGCTGGGAGACGGAAGTGATGTGCTTCCAGAATCTGCATCACCTTGTGGAAGATCGCAGGCTTGCTGAAACCGGGTGCCTTTCTAGCTTTGATTCTAAGCCGCATACATTAGCTCGTAACTTTTAGCCCTCGAACAAGGGACTACTTACGCCTGCAAGTCGTTTGCTGCCTTTTTGGCAAGCACGGTATTGCCCAAGTCAGTCGCGAGCTTTAAGATGCGCGCGTTTATTGGATCCCTGTCGGTGACCGCAACCTTAATCTCTGCATTGGGGTTCCAGCTCATGTCTTCCGCCTGGGCAACCCAGGGTCTCATCTATAATGCATTAGATCATTGTCCGAGGCGAAAAAGAAATCAAGTACTGACCGCAAAGAGCTTGTTGAAGTTTAACGGCAGGCAAAACCCTAGTGCCTCGCCAGAGTCATTGACGACGCCGTCCCATCCATATTCCAGCAGGATTTCCTGGCCATGGAGACTTCGGGAGATCAGGCCCAGTACGTAGAAGGCTGTGCCTCTAAGTGACATGACTTCTGACTGCTCGGCAATCTGCACGACCCACTTGACCACATCTGAGCTCTCAAGGAATGGCGCCCCCAATTCCATTGAGCCCACGTTGCCAACCGCCCATAAGCAGCCCTTGACCTTGAGAATTATCTCAGGGTCGTCATTCTCCGACGCAAAGTCTCGAATGGTCGCGGCGAACTCGTCAAAATGACCTTTCTGCTTCAGTAGCTTGCATCCTTCCTTGGTTCTGGTCAGTTCCCGATAGAAGTGCGGTGGCACGAGGCCGTAGTCCGTTGGTTCAGGCGTGTCGTCGTACGTCAGTTGAGTCGACGGCTTTTCGGGTATGTCCGCGAGTGCGCGAGCCATGGAGGCTTCGATCAAAGCCACGTAAGTATCGTTTCTTCCCAGGAACCAGTCGTCCATCTCTCTCGTGATGTAATCCAACCCATCCAGGTAGTGGTAGCCTACCGAAGTTGAGAGGAACCGGAGCAAAAGTGGAGCACCAATTTCGCCCAGATGATCCAATGCCGGGCGGCATTTCACGACAAATTCCAACGACTCTTTCTGGTTGCAAGCCTCTTCCAATATCTTGATTGCCACTTCACACACTTCCACATCCGGGTCGTACAGCTGCGTCACAAGGAGCCTGATAGCCCATTCCGCTACACTGGTAGAGCTGCTCACTCCCATAGGCTTTGTCGCATACTTGCGCAACAATCTGGTTGCAAAAATACGAATCTCTTTGGAGCATGATGTCATGGCTTTGGAGATGATGATGCGTAGATGACCGTCCAAAGTGTAGTCCATATTGCTCAACAGAGTTCGGATCAGGTCGTCGCGGTCATTGAGCTCGATGATGTGGTAGAACATATTGATCACTCTCCATCTTTCTAGAATGTGGATTCCTCGAGAGTCTTTAGTCAAAGCACCCAGAAGCGCAAAGTAGCCGCCAGTGAGCGTTTCGTTCATCCGATCCGTCTGAAAGATAGGCGACTCAGATGTTAGCCCGCTCATCCGGTCGAAATGCGACAAACACTCGGCAAGCTGTCGGATAAATTTGCTCTCTGCCAGATACTTGACGCCTTCTGGGTTTTGCAGGAGACTTTGCATCAGGGCGCATCCGGCTCGCACGTATCGCTGGTTCGGTTTGGTATTTTTGATCTCAGAGAAACGGTACTTGAATGGGCGATAGAACCCCAAGACACGATGGATGAACTTGGTTACTTTGATAGCCTCGTCCAGGCGTTTGGGATTGAGCAGAGGGCCTTCGATGATGTTCAGAATCAAATCCCACTTCCATTTCGTGAACGTGACCGTGTTCAATACTTGGGTCTCGACCATGAGATTGCGAAAGTGGGCCTCGTCCACCTGCATGGCGGCTTGTAGCTTGGCCGCATGGTCAGATTGTCTGTTTGTCGATGTGCTATCGGAGAGCGCAGTGCTCTTAGTGGTATACAGAGACGTAGGTCCGGACCGATAAAGAGTCCTGTTGATGCTGTCCACTTGATATATGGTACCAATAGCGACAAAGCGGTCTTCTGAGTCGAACCGCGCCGCTGAGTGCAAAAGTTGTGGGAGTACTTGGATCTGCGCGCTCCACGAGGGGGGTAGTAATTCATTGGCCATTTTCAAAACTTCCCCAATTAGAAGGGTTGTCTTGCGCTTCAACGGCAATGTCAGAGACTCCTCTTCGGCCTGTAGCAGTGCTGGCATCAAACCTGCATGTAGAAATGCAGCCAGAACTACAGAGACATAATGGTCTAGTAAGCTCCACTTGGTGGTGTCGTCCTCGGTGCTACTGGAGGTTGAAGTCTCTTTGATCTGCTGGTTTTTTAGATTCGTGACGCGGCCATAGGTAGTCAAACGCCGACCAGCAAGGAAAGAGGACGACCAGGAGGGAGGCTTGATCCTGAGAAGATCGAATAAAAGTTCCAAGATGATGTTCCGAACATGAGGAGTAGGAATCTGTAAGGACCAAAGTAAGGATCGAAGGGGCAGAAAATTGTTCATGGAAAGGGTAAGTAGTCCAGGCCAACTTCGGAGTAAGGATGCTATGACCTTGGCATTGACCTTCAGTTTCTCTTCGTGCAAATGTCCATGAGTGGTATTTGCGTCCGTGAACATGGCGAAGGGAGCTTCCAGCTCGCGCCCGGAGCGCAAAAAGCGGCGTCGCCTGGGAGTATCCAGTAGATAGAGGAACGAAGTGCCAACACTTTCGGCCGCGTGATAGCTTCCTTCCCCAAGAGCATCAGCCAAAGCGCCCATACCTCCGGCTGCAACGAGAAGAGATGGCTTCCGGACAAGAATCTCGGCCAAAGTCAGGGTCGCGATATTCCTCAGTCGGTCTTCTGCGTGCTCGGCCACTGCAACGATGATACGAACTACGGCGCGGGCGATTTCCTCAACGCCTCCCTTAACGTCGAGGAACGCTCGGACAAACTTTAGTGCTTGTTCACGTTCCACACTGGCTTTGGACTCTTTTACTAATGACAAGATGACAAGATGGTCTGTATGAAGAGCCCGTATGATCCGGAGAGATTTGCGATCAGTGAAGGAATAGCGCATGACTCGATATGCTGCTGCAACAACTTCGCGGCTGTCGCTCAGGAGCATGGTTTGCATTCGTAGTCCGAAAATGGACCAGGCTAGGTCGTACTTCAGCGTAGGGTGTCGCTTGAAGAGAAGGACCAGAGAGTTGGCTCTCTCTACATAGTATTCCGGTTGCAAGCCCTGAACTTCCAGGGCCTGCAATATCTCTGCCAGAACGAAGGTCGGCGATTCAGTTTCCTCCTCCTCTCCCACTTCTTTCTCAACGATATGCCGCGACGGTGAACGTGAGAGATTCCGTCGGAAGAGATATGAAAGTCTGCTCTGTGGGTCCGCTGGTGGTGACTTGACTTCCTTTGCTCTCTGTTTCTCCGCAGCCAATCCCGACTGCAACTGGGCCAATTTCCTGTTCGAAATATTGAGCTGTTCCTCGACCTGTAGCCTCTGGTTCTTGCTGTCTTTTGCGTTCTTAGCGTTCAATGCCTCCAGCAGGTTCTCCGAGCCAATCTTGATTTTGGTTTCCTTCTCGATCTGATCCTGCAGCTCTGCCTGCCTCTGCTCAGTGGTTGTGTTGTCATTGTCCCCCACGGTAATTGCGTGCATGTCGAAATCGGGACGTATCCGACCGTCTTGCGCCGTCGAGGGCCGTACCAAAGCGGTGTTGAAGCTGCCAGGGCCTGTGTTGGCGGTTGCATACGAGGCATACGAGGCCTGGCCTCCCCGCGAGCTGGCCATGCCGACCGACGACGCAGAGCGCCCATCTCTACTCGTCGTAGGTGCAAGGAGAGACGTCTGGTCGGCGGCATCGGCCTGTGTGTTTACGGAGCGAGCTGATGGCGTCATGAGCGCGCCTTAACCGTGTTCCCGCCAACCGCATCGCATATCTGTCTTTCGGCGGTGCCCTCCTCTTGCCTCATGAGCATTCGCGGGCCCAGGTGAAGTCGCTGTCGCTGCGGTGCCTAGCCAAAAACGGAAATGTGGCGGAGGTTCGGGGAAGGAGCGGCTGGGGCAGAGGCTAGGGAGTGTGGAGCTGGTGTAATGACAGTGTGAGTGAATGGTGCATGGCGCGCAGCATCGCCATCTCGACGTGTTGCGGGCAGCAGCCGCTGAGCGTGGGGACGTGCACATTTCCCTACCCACCTACCCTTGCAACGCTGAGCTCGCGTCCACCAGATCCACCGCCCTGCACCTCACCATCATGGCCTGACATGCCGCAGAAATCCATGTGCCGACAATTCAGGCCCCGTAGTCCCATGGCGCCTGGTGCATCTCCGGGCGGAGAGCGGTTCTGACGCCGTCACGTGCGCGCCCTGCGCCGCTATCCAGGGCCTCTTCCCTCGATCGGAGCTCGCCGATGGCCATCTCAACGAATGGAAACGCGTTCTGGCCGCCTCTTTGCCGACGCTCCATAGCTTGCTCGTGCCTCAATCGCAAACCGCTCCTGTACAGTTCGGTATCCTCCGTGTGCCGTCCATCAGATAAGGTGCCGTTTCATAAGTATATCTAGCTTGATCGCCCTTCTTGATAACTCTATCCACTCACCTTCAGCTTCCAACTGACCCTCGCCTAATCACATACACCTCGCGCCCTTATCTGAAGCATTCCAGGCTATTATCCTAATCTGCACAGCTTCGCTCGCAATGTCTCAGCTTACTCACGCCCGCTACGGCAAGGACAACGTCCGTCTCTACAAGGTCGACAAGGACCCCAACACCGGTGTCCACACCGTCGTTGAACAAACAGTCTGTGTCCTACTTGAGGGAGACATTGAGACTTCGTACGCTTCTCCACCGAGACTCTAGCATACCCTGTATTAACGATCTCCAGCTACACCAAAGCAGACAACTCTGTCATAGTCGCGACCGACACGCAAAAGCAAACAACCTACATACTCGCAAAACAAAACCCTATCGACCCGCCCGAGCAATTCGCTGCCATCATTGGCGACCACTTCGTTAAGACCTACCCTCACATTCACGCCGCGCACGTTAAGATTATCCAGCACCGATGGACGCGCATGACTATCGACGGAAAAGCACACCCACACTCGTTCTTCCGCGACGGCGAAGAGACTCGCGTGGTCGAATCCGTGACACGCGAGAACGAGGGTGTCTCTATTCGCTCCAAGATTGAGAAGCTCCTTGTTCTGAAGAGCACAGGGTCAGCATTCCATGGCTTCCACCGTGACGAATACACGCGTCTGCCCGAAACATGGGACCGCATTCTGAGTACAGAGGTTGAAGCTGGCTGGCAATGGAAGCTGTTCAAGAACTTGGATGAGGCCAAGGCCGTAGACTTCAACAGTGCCTGGACCGCGGCAAGGGATATCACCATGAAGGTCTTCGCCGAGGATGATAGCGCCAGTGTACAAGCAACTATGTACAAGATGTGCGACCTGATCTTGGCCGCTGTTCCTCAGGTGGATGCTGTCGACTATGCGCTGCCCAACAAGCACTACTTTGAAGTCGGTACGTGGGACCAATTGTCTTCTCCTGCATTCATTCGCTAACATGGCACTAGATCTTTCGTGGCACAAGGGCATCAAGAACACCGGCAAAGACGCCACTGTCTTTGCTCCTCAATCTGACCCCAACGGTCTGATTTTCTGCACTGTTACTCGCAAGGGTACCAAGTCGAAGTTGTAGATGCAGTAGCATCATGCCGTCGCACATTGGTTTTTTGTACATTTCTTTGGGTCATCGAGCGAGTTTTGGAGAGATTGTCAAAGGAGAGTAGAACATTATACCACCATTTCTTTTTGTTCGTTGGGGACGAGTGAGAGTAGTATACCATCTTACGAGTAGAGCGAATGCAACCGTTTTACTCACTCTCGCGGCATATGATGTGACAAATCAGAGATCCATGAGATTATCGAATCGACGTCAAACCCAGTAACCAAGTACATGTGGTCGTAGAATATGAAATACGGCTCAAGGACAATTATGTAGATTTACATGTCTTATACACGCACCCTGATGCTATGGTATATCTTCTCTTGACCCCTTTGACCACCTCTCGTCATGATACTGGTGCCTCCGCATTCTGTGCCTTGACCTCTGCAAACGTCTTCTTGACCTCATCGTGCTCCACTATACTCTGTCCACCACCGTTTCCCACCTTTAGGATATTCTCCTTGTAAGGGTGCGCTCTCCCCTCGAACGTCTTTAACCTCGCCAGCCTGTCCTTCCGTAACCTGTTCTTGGGCAACATGCCGCTGACCGCCTTCCTCAAAACCTCTCCTCCTCCCCACTTGGCGATCATCCTGTCCATGGAGAGTTCTTTGAGGGAGCCCGGACGAGTCGTGTGTGTGCGGTAGAGTTTCTGGAAGCGCTTCTTGCCAGTGGTGTGCAATTGTGAGCAGTTTGTGGCTACAACGTAGTCGCCGCAGTCGGTCGAGGGGTCGAAGATGGGCTTGTGTTTTCCCATGAGGGTCAGGGCTATAGCGGAGGCGACGCGGCCGAGCGCGCGTGGGTCGGAGCCGATGTCGAGATGGTGCCATGAGCGGGCGTAGGCCAGACGCGTCTAGATAACATATTAGCCCTAGAAATAGCACGTCTCGCGATGGTGACTTTGGCTGCGATCATGGAGTTCTGAGATGCGGAGGTCTGACAGAATACACACCTTTCCTATGACTTGCGACATGGCGGCTGCGAAGTCAATGACCTAATAGGCCAAGTATAGTCGGGCGTCGGTATTGACCTGGAGTCCGGGGTTCTCGCTCGGGAGATACTGGCGAAGCTACGAGCGGCGTTGGCTTGTCGGCGTGGATGGAAGTCGATGCCAAGCCTGGGATCCAACGTGGATTGGCGATAAAATATGGCCCGGGGACGGCCGCCCGCCCTGCGCCACACCATGGTTAGGTGGGGCCTCGATTTCAAAGCGTCCCAAAGGCGAAGTGGCATGCTCGCAACTTGACCATTCTACCAATAGCACAGGGTTTCAAACAACATTACACTCGAATTCACAATTTTCAACATGACTGTCCCGTCGTTTGAAACCATCTTCGCGGTGCCTATGACCTGCCAGTCGTGCATCAACGACATCGAAGGCTCCCTCCAGCAATTGGGTGGTACGACTGATCCCGATGCACGTCATCCGGCTTCTAACAGCATGTAGGTGTCAACAAAATCACTGCCAACCTTAAAGATCAACTGGTATCTGTCGAGGGCACAGCAGCGCCATCGGCCATTGTTGAAGCTATTCAAGCAACTGGCCGCGATGCAATTCTAAGAGGATCTGGAAGATCAGACAGTATGCTCCATCTTGAATAGTCGGCATGTGCGTCGATTCTAACGTCCGAACAGGCGCCGCAGTATGCATCTTAGAATCGCACGCACCTAATGTAGAGAACAAAGTTCGAGGATTAGTGCGCATGGTTGAAGTAGCTCCGAGTATGACTATCATCGATCTGAGCATAAGGGGATTGTCGCCTGGAACGTACCAGGCCACAGTTCGCGAATCTGGCGACATATCCGACGGACCAGAATCTACCGGCGCCATCTGGGAGTATCTCAAGGCCAAAAAGGAAGACAAGCCGTGTCGGGGCATCTTTGGAACCGTCCAGGTAGGAAAGGGTGGAGTCGGATCTGTGTTCCTGGACAAGCCCATCCACATCTGGGAGATGATCGGACGTAGCATCGTGGTTGCGCGAGAGCAAGACGGCAAGGTATGCGAAACCGCTAGTTGATCTGAGATCTACTCTGACCTTGCACAGTTTGACAAGAACGATCCGGATACGCTAGTGGGTGTCATCGCACGTAGCGCTGGTGTTTGGGACAGTGAGTGCTCTTGGTACCCCACGTGTTCTGCGCATGGCGTGTGGTACTCTTCGCGTGCGTATGTGCTAACGGCTGTGCAGACGACAAGACGGTATGTTCATGTTCTGGCAAGACGGTCTGGCAGGAGAGGGAAGAACAGCGCGATCGCGGTATGCTATGAGTTCAAGAGACACCAAGATAGACCAAGTAATAAAGTGCCGTCGAAATGCCGTGTTGGTTTGGTGACGAGAGATAGGGCTTGCACCTTGAAATCTAGGCCGAAACTAAGACTGCGCGAACACGGACTTTGCGAGGCCTGGAATCGTCATGCGTTCATGCCTGAAAACGCCAGGCGACGGGATGAGTGGCTGCGGAGAGGCTGCGTCACGTGGCTGTCTCAGTCGGCGGATTTGCACGTTACAGACCTCAAACGCCATCACTCGATGATCGCAGGGGGCCAGCAGTCCGATGTGCGCCGCGGTGGGTTGCTGGCAGTGAGCCTCACGAAGCGAGGCTATGGGGACTGCAGAGGCGCTTGGGAGAATCGCTAGGCTCTCGGAGCATCGCAGGACGGTGGTGTCATGCTCGAGTCGGCCGGGTTGAGGCGTCTTGGACAGGCGCGTAGCGCTGTGGCTCTCGGGCTTCACGGTGCAGGGATCCAATCACGGTGCCGGGTACCGTGTCGGCCAAGGCTTGTCTCTCAAACGCGCTGGACCTCAGAATTGGTCTCCCCACCGGTAGCCCTCCTGCAACCGCCCGCCAAATTCCCACCGTGTCCCTGTCTCTTCCGAGCATTGCCCTCGAAACCTCCTCCTCTCTCTCCCGGTTTCCCAACTGTGCCTTAATTCCCACACCTGTACGATCGTTAACTCCCCCGCGCAACCCACCGCATCTTGGTGTACCTCGACGACTTAATAGCGACACACACACACCTACTGGACACTAATTCACCACGTCGCGCACACCCACAAGCCCCGGCGGCTACTCTGTAATCTGGTGGAATTGAGACGAACACATCCGGAAGTTTGCGCGTGAGAAGGAACACGACCCCTCGTCCAACGGTGGAGTGCTAGGAAAGGCACTACCTTGAGGCTTGACGACACCATACTGCCGGGTAACAAGTGAAGATCACTCGTCATGTCTCTGAAGCAGGTGCGCTCCTTCCTCCCGCGCGTCGCCGCTCCTGCCGAGTTCAATTACTGATAGGTGGGGTAGGAAATCGAAACCTGGGTGGCAGCCCTCGCCAGCTACGACAACAATGAGTTCGACGTCGCATTGAAGGTCTTTGACACAATCTCCGATACGTCCAAGATTCTGTTCAACTGCGGCGTAATCCATGCCACACTTGGCGAGCATGAGAAGGCGGTAAGTTGAACAATGGCTCCAGTAGTAGGAGTACGTGCTGATGGCTACACAGGTCGACTGCTACCAGCGCGCTGTGCGTCTGGACCAGTACCTCGCAGTGGCATACTTCCAGCAGGGTGTGTCAAACTTCCTTATGGGCGACTTCGAGGAAGCCCTCGCCAACTTCAACGACACACTCCTCTACCTACGCGGAAACAACAACATCGATTACGAACAATTGGGTCTCAAGTTCAAGCTATACTCCTGCGAGGTACTGTTCAATCGCGGTCTTTGCTACATCTACCTCCAGCAAAGAGACGCCGGTCTACAGGATCTGTCTTTCGCAGCCAAGGAGAAAGTGGTGCCCGACCATGATGTGATCGACGAGGCTATTCGGGAGGAAGCAGAAGGCTACACTGTCTTCTCCATTCCCGTCGGCATTGTCTACCGTCCCAACGAAGCCAAGGTCAAGAACCTGAAGACAAAGGACTATCTTGGAAAAGCCCGCCTGGTCGCTGCTTCAGACCGGGCCAATGCCTTTACTGGCTTCGCTGGCGCCGAAATCAAGAAGGGAGGCCAGGCCGCAAAAGATGACAGAACTGAGGATAAGATCTCGTACGCGGCGACCAACCTTGTCAAGCCAGAACTTCAGAGCAGAGCACGCCAGCAGTCAGAACCACCAATGAACCGTAACATGTTCCCACCCACACCGCCACCGGAGGCAGACAGAAGGTCTGGTGACAGGAGATCTGGTGGAGAGCGGAGACCTGCCGCCGATGCTCCCATGAGCCGCGCGCAATCCGTACGAGGCGGTGGCCCTAAGCCTCAGCCTCTGAACCTTGGACGAGCTGCCTTTGATCAGCAAAGCAACAACGAGCCGCCTCGTCGCCAGCCAACACAGCGCTCCGCCTCTGAACGTCCACCACCAAGTCGTTCAGAGTCAATGCGAGACCGAGGGCAACGTGATCAGCGGGATCAGCGAGACCAGCGAGACCGTGACTACAGGCCACGTCGCCGTGGGTCTGACGATGATATCATTGACGACTACTACGACAATGACCCCTACCCGCCTTCTCGTGGGAGCCGCGGGGCATACGCTCGCTCAAAACAGAGCAGGCGACCGGCTTACATTGAAGAAGAAGACGAAGACGACTACGATGGTAGTGATCTTGATGATGCCGAATTCGAGATGATGTCTCGCACAAAATCCAGGAGACGATCCCCCGCCCGCTCCGCCAGATCTGGTGGTAGCACCCGCGGTGCAGGCAGCAAAGTCAGAGTGAAGGTCCACTCTAGCGACACACGTTACGTCTTTATCAGTTCCGATCAGTTAATCACTGAATTCTGGCAACAGATTCGGGAGAAGTTCGGTGTACGAAATAAGTTCAAGGTGGAGTTCAAAGACGATGGCGACATGATCACCATGGCCGACCAGGACGATCTTGACATGGCCATCCAGACGGCGAAGAGTGTTGCAAGGAAGGAAGGCAGCGATATGGCCAAGATGGAGGTAAGTTCTTCGTTCACTTTCACCTTGAAGACTACGTACTAACTACTTTATCAGGTTTGGGTTAGAGAAGTATAGACTAGAGATACCCCAGCATCACGCATTATTACGATCCACATTACATTTCCTTTCATCCTCGCGAACGCATATTGACTGCTTCGGCGTACTTGCTTTGACAGCGCTCGATCTTGCTGTATTTGTAGCGAGCATAATTGCTGGTTTTTGCTGGCATGCATAAACACCTGTACACTCTTTTTTCACAGCCGGACTGTTGATCCGCTATTAGAGTCGGCTTTGCATGTATGAAAGGCGTAATTGAACCTTACGAATGAAGAACTACCACCAACAATTGTTTCTGCCGCAATGTGATATCGTGTAAATACCTGCATTGATACCCGGAGTACCTGCAGTAGATAGCTACCACGCAGTTTAGGCCTTCTGCATGCGCCACCAGCGCGTGGAAGTACCAACAACCAGGTTTTCAGACTACCATTCAAGTTACTTTCGCTGCGCCGCAGACCAACTAGTCCTTGACGCCACCGTGCCGTATGAAAGTAATCTACCGAGTACGAATCACCATCGTTGTTGCAATTTGCCAACAAACCCAAAGCCTGTCTCGGCGAACTGACTGGCGCGTGCAATGGCAACAGACAGCTCATGAGCGCCAAGGCACACTTCACGATAGCCAAACGATACCGTCCACCAACTTGTTCATCTCGACGTATGTGCATACGCCACGCGTGTGCTTCCGATACGTCCGATTACGCGCCCGAAACAGTTCGTGACAACCCCGCGGGAAATCCGGACGGCAAATAACAAATCCGCGTCTCCGATCTCGCCATCGTGCAAAAGAAAGGACGTCACACACCGTTCTGTCAAACTCAGCAGCCGACGCGCGTATTCTCGCCAATAACGTTAGTACTCGTAAAGGAAGCAGAGAAGAATCTCAACAAGGCGAAGTGAAACTCGAGCCAAGCTGAGACTGCGTCTCTGGAGACGTGAAAAGGAAGAAAGAAGAAAAGACGAACACGATGCGGTTCAATCCGAAAAGTCTATTTTGCTAAGCATTTCTGTGACAGCAAGACAGTGCTTGGTATGTTCCAGTTGTGTGGGTTACAGAACCTTCATACGCGTCGGTGCGGGTGACGCGCATGGTGTTTCGGATCTTTGTGTGGAGAGAGCAGTGACGTACTGCGATGACTGATGGCGAAAGATGTGAGGTGGTGAGACGAACTGCCAAAAGTCTAATTGAAAGCACTGCAATGACAAACAGAAAGGACAGAGTATGTAGCCGTGTTCTCGTCATTGTTATACATAATTCTACAAGATCGTTATAAGACCGTTTTTAGAGAAGACTTTGGGGATATTGTTTCACACTACTGGTATGTGTGCTTTCGTGCCTGAACGCCTTCTTTTTCAACGCTCTTCCTCAAACCAGAGTTTGCTTCTTTGTACATGGCGTCGAGAATCGTTCGTTGCCCTGCGATGGCTACTCGCATTTCCGCCTAACTCGTTCGCCTGGCGCTGGCGCATTGTCTCCTTGTATGAGATCGATTCGGGTTTACGCGGGAAGTAGGATCTCGGCCCAGCTGCTGTGCAAAAAGGTTACGCCAATCTACACGCGGTCATTAGCATTTGCCCTTGCCTCTGTTTTCCTTCTCTATCGTGCTCTATCCTTCGTCTGCAGTGTCGACAACCCAGGGCGACTTACAGCGAACATTCCCGCGGCAGTAACGATACTCCTGTTATCCTTGCTCGTAAAGGCTGAGATGGTGCTGGACGCGAAGCTGGGCTCGTTGAGGGTACGGCCCTTGCCTGTCATCTGCTTGGGTGGCATCGTTGCGGAGACGGGTGAGACGCTGCACAATCCGTCAGTCTCGAATAGTCTGGGTATTTATCTGCGGAGGGCGTACGGAGTTTGCGATCGTAGAATTGGGCTGTTGCGGGGTTGCTATCGATGCGCTTTGGACATTGGTGATGATGTTTTTTGGCTAAGAAGGGTCGAGCGTCATCGGTTGCTTATGTAAGGGTCCGTCTTTCAACAGTCCATCATGAGCCTTCCCTACGTCTTTCGTCTCATGGCACAACATGTCTGCGCAAGGTTTCTGAGATACGAGATATCACCGCATATATGTACAGGAAGTCGTCTTGAAAGATAGCATGGCATCGTACTATTACAAGTTATTCACAAGCACGGCTGAGCCTTCCTCCCAATCTACGCCTTCTACTACAGCCATGTCGTTTTCCAAGGCCTAACCCTCAGCCGCGCAATGAATACGTTGGATAACCCCGTGTGCAGAATCAGATATTCGCTATCCCAAAACGACCCGTGAAAGATTAGAACGCCGTGAATGCTGGTCTGAATGTCCCAAAAGTGAAACACAACAACTAAATGTGAAAAAATGGAAAGCATCCTGATGAAGAGTTGCTACCATCAATATTCCCAGCGTCAAGCTGAGATGAAGGCTGGACAGCCTATTCCTTCTTGCTTGCCAGGATACTGTATTGACCACCGCAACCAGCCCATGTAAGCTTCGTCTCACGTACAGCGGTGTTGTCGATCAAGGTAGGGACCTCAATGTCGTCGTCGGTACCCTGACCCGTTTGGAAGTTGACCGAGAAACCCCACGAGTAAGCCTTGCCGTCCTTGTCAACGACGATGGAGTGATCAGGACCGCATGCACCAGCGACAATGTTCTTGAGGTCGGGAAGCGGTGTCGGCTGCACGACGATCTTCGCCTTGCCGTTGTTCTTGAGAACCTTGTGCTCATCCGTCTCTGCATCAAGCTGGGACGGAGGAAGACCAGTCTGTGAGCCGTCGCAGCGACCCCAGACTAGCACCTGTCCATCCTTGGTGATGGCCAAGTTGTGATGCGAGCCTCCTGCCAATGATTGGACGCCCTTGCCTTCCAAACTGTGTATGATCTTGGGTTGGAGAACGCTAGCATCATCTGCACCAGCATTCTTGGTGTAACCAGTCTCACAGTAGTTGTTCGCACCCCAGCCCCAGACGTGCCCATCTTCTGCGATGGCAAGACCGTGGTAGTCGCCGGATGCGATGTGTGTTATGCGTTGGCTGTGCTTCTTGATGGAAGAGTCGTGGAAACCAATCTTGTTGGGCTGCAAACCTTGGATGAGATTGCGCTCAGTGACACGGCGTCCAAGCTGGTTTTGCTGGCCGTTGCCCCAAGCATATACGTGGTGGTCCTTGTCCAGGGCGTAGACGTGGTTGGTACCACACACGAGCTGAATGACCTTCTTTATGCTGTCGATGTAGACGGGTCGAGGCGCTGTATGATTGTCGCGTTCGAAACCCATGATACCTTCGTTCTTTCGGAATGTGCCCCATCCATAGACCGCGCCCTCAGTAGTAAGTGCGAAAGAGCAGCTATCGCCGGCAGCGACGTCGACAAAGGTGGTGTCTTCAGGGAAGAACTCGGATGGTACGGGCGTTGGTGTGGCCTCAGCGTCGTTCAAGCCGCCGGTCTCATCCTCAGAGTCGGAGTCAGAGTCGTCCGCGTCTAGATCACGCATCTTGACGGGTGCGTTCGACGTGTCGCGTCCAAGGGCATTGTTGTCGTTGACACCCCATGTCAGGATTTTGTTGTCTTTTGTGAGTGCGACAACGTGCATGCCGCCAGTAGCAATCTTGACAACGTTCAAGTTGGACAGAGGCTCGTTGTAGCGCGGCCGCTTCACGTCGATGGCCTTGCTTGTGGCGCCGAAGCCGAGCTCGCCAGAAGAGCCTTCACCAAAGACAAAAACCTTCAGAGGTTCCGTGTAGCGGATCTCGTTGATCTCAGTCTTCTTGCCCTTGTTGCGACGCGGGCCCTTGGGGTTCGGGATCAGAGCCGGATCGACCTTCGCGGCTTCGGGCTCTGGCGTTGCGGTCTTTGACGCGGCTTTCGGGGCGGCTTTCGCTGCTGCTTTCGGGGCAGTCTTGGGGGCAGCTTTCGCTACCTTGGGCTTCTTCACGGCGGGAGCAGGCGCGTCTTCGACCTCCGGTTCGCTTTCATCGTCCTTCTTGCGCTTGGTCGTCTTCTTAGGCGCGGCCGCGGGTTCAGGTGCAGGAGTCTCTGTCTTCTTTGCGCGACTGCGTCCAGCAGCTGCTGTCTTCTTAGCGGTTGACCTTATTTCGGACGCGTTGAGCTTACGCTTCGGTGGAGCTGCCTCAACTTCGTTGGTGTCTTCGTCGGCCATCTCGACGTCCTCAGTTTCCTCGGCTTCCTCAGCTATGCCGTTGGCGACAGGCGCGTCTTCGGCTTTCTTCGCGCCTCTTCGTGGGACTGCGAGGTTTGTCAGCGATAGCATGGTTACTGTGGGTGGACGTGACGTACGGGTGCCGTTCACCTTGACATCTTTGGCGTCTTTCTTCTCAGCGGGCTTTGCGCTCGCAGAACGGGAAGCTCTAGCCATTGCGCGCGACACAAACGAGAGTTGGCGACACGAACGAAGGTTGATGCGCGTAAAAGTGTTTGGATTGGAAGTTGTTGTGAGGTGGCTGGTGTTGTCGTGTACATAGAAAAATGTTGAACTGCATTTAGCAAGGCTGGCGCTAGACTTCACATGGACCAGCTCGCTGCAGCCACGGCCCGTCAACCATTCACCGCGTACGTCACTGCCTGATTGGCTACCTAGGCAGCCTGGCTACCATCGACTGACTGACCGTCCGACACTCGTTCGTAACATTTAATATCACATGTCTCGTTACCACTGCAAGCCTTTTGCTGTTTTGTCTCCTGTTTTCAGCACGTCACTGTGTCGATCCTCGGTGTCGGCGACCTTCACTCGTGGCCGTCTTATGAACCACGGCTGACCGAGAAGCTGTACCGCTCACACGTACGTTGTTCTTATGTAATCTACACAGTGTGGATATCCAGAATGGGTCTGGTTCATGCTATACGGAAATGGTTGCTGAGCTTACACACTTCAAGACAAGGGGATGTCGGCCACCCCACAGCATGCAGCTAGAGCTCAAAGAAGATTCTGCGATATATAATGTCTATGTTGAAAATTTGTCATCGAATCAGTCAGCGTGGCCGAGGTAAGCATTTCTCCCAGCTCCTGACATCTTCCCA